TGCTGGTAAAATAGATGAATTAAAGAACTATTCGCCGGCTAAAATATGACCTTATACAGATATCCTGATTAAAAAATTATGTGAAAAAGTACGAATTCTGTAATAAACGACTAAGTTGTAAAAAAAATACTTAACACGGACGATGTCAAATCACGTACTGATCACGTGACAATGCTTTGCCCACACCTGCAATGCGCCTTTGCCAGGGAAGGAGACCAATTCACACCTAATACAATGACCGTTTCTAGACCGGGGATAGAGGGACTGTGTTCAGAATAAAAAAAAAAATCACCACATATTTTTTTTTGCTACTTTGGACCAAAACAGATTTTTTTTTTGGCCTTAGTTCTGATTAATTAGGTTTAATTAATAATAATTTACAATTTATTTATTGTTCTTTGTTTAAAAGCCACCAATATGAGGTTTGCATTGTACACATGGCATGGTTTAGTTTACTGTGGAATACTTTATATTCGCTGGAATAAATTTTCGCTGAAAAGGCTTTTTGGGCATTTTGTATGGAATTTATTTTCACTGATTTTTGATAAGTTTAATGTGAAATATAGGAAAAAAAGTATATTCGCTGGATTTTATTTTCACGGAATCATCCCTTCAGCGAATATAGCGAAAATAAATTCCAAGCGAAAATAAAGTATTCTACAGTATTCTGTGTTTCTGAATAAGTACATGTATTTACAATTTATTGTCCATGCAATTTAGAATTTGTTTTCAATATCTGTCTATAAACCTTGTAATCCCACCACTTTTCTTTCACTGCGAGATCCCATGTTATATAAAATCAAACGTAAATCTGTACAATGATTTGGCAGCCATCTTGCTTTTTGAAAATGTTGTATTTTGGACATGCTTTGTCAGTTTTCATTCAAACTTGGTACATAGATTATACATGTTAGGATACATGTCCATGATGATTTATTTCACAATTGGATCAAAGATGGCCGACTGGCAGCCATCTTGTTTTTTGAAAATGTCGTATTTTGGACATGCTTTGTCAGTTTTCATTCATATTTAGTACATAGATCGACTGGCAGGCATCTTGTTTTTGTTTTTTTATGCGGTATCTTGGACGTGCTCTGTCAGTTTTCATTCAAATTTGGCACATACATGTACTTTATACATGTTAGGATGCATGTCCATGACAATTTGTTTCAAAATCTGGTCAGGATGGCCGATTGACAGCCATCTGACTTTTTGGCCTTACTACTATATTTCCACAATTTATGTACCATTTTCATTCGTATTTAGCACATACATCATACATATCAGTGTGTTTCATAATCAAATCAAAGATGGCTGAACAACGGCTGTTTTTATTTTGACCATATTACTATGACACGAAACCCGTGTTTTGATGTAAATAAACAATCTGTTGTATACACCACTTGGAACTCAAGTTCAAGGACACGCTTGCGACAACCCCTACGCTTTAATATGACGAGCACAAAGAGAACTTAACGGGGACTGTGTCATTTTCAATGACTTGTTACTATACATCTTTTTCCTTCCAAGGATACATCATGAGAATGCCGAAATCCAAAAAGTTTAGAACAGAATCAGCGAACTTCTTTGTGTGGAGTCTGGTCAAACCTTGATGGCAGCCATGTTTGTTTTTATTATTAGAGGACGCTAGCGCGTAATCATTCCATATTTTCTTATAAGGTAGGATGAAAATACCCAGTGCAATACCGCAAAATTACGGCACGCTGTAACTTATGACGTTACGGTGATAGATGTATAATAATTATTAGTTGATGAGGTTCAATTACCTAACCCCAGGTATTTATTTTTAGTAAAATCTTTCATAGTACCCTGTAGTACAAGGTACTAGTATTATGTGAACAGTTTTTGAAAACATTTATAGTATCTAGGATGTAGGAAATATGTATTTTGAATCGTTCAAAAGATAAATTGTTTACTGAATAGGTGATTTTCCGTACAATTGCGAGATCTCGCGAGATGCATGAAAGACGCGCGTCGAACGTCTGCCGCAAAAATCAAACGATTTGATTTTGAACTCGAATTTCTTTATTTCGTAGCTTACATTGACCGGCCGATCGTCGACAGAGGAATATTGCTTTTGAATGCCCTTACTTAATCGAAATTGTCTATCATCAAATGTGGACAGCACATTATTAAGCATGGAAATGTCCCCGAAGTACTTTCGCGTTTGTCGAATCCCACGCGACTACAACGCTATGACCTTTGTTTGTCCTGTTTTTACGTTCGATTTCACGCATAACGCGTGATTCTCGCAGTGAACGGAAAATGGTCTATTAATTTAATGTACAATAGAAAGGTTTTGAGTTCGCTGGGCATGTTTCCAATCTGCTGTATTACTGAGCATGTTCATGTCAAAAAGGAGTGGATAATTTCATAACCAGTCATTTGTGAGTCTCTTTGTCTCAGTTTTTCACAAAATGTTTATTTATATTTGTATGTTGACCCCCCTCCCCACAAGATATCTTGCGAGGTATGTACAATTACTAAAATGTCCAACTTCATTGTATGTATATAAATTAAAACACTCTTTATACCTTTTACAACATTCATAAAATTTCAAAGAAACTTGGGTGTTTACAATACAAAATATGCTAGTAACAAAACTATAGCTTGGTGAATAGTAAAAAAAAATTGCAAGTGAATAAACATCGATCGTACCCCTTCTTTGCAGGCATGGTTACTAAGCAAGCACGGAACTTGAAACTCCTCTATTGTTAAATACATGTACATACGTCAACTTGTTTGTTGGACCTGTATTATAAGGGTACATTAAAATACTAAAATGCT